GATACTTTAACTTTGTAGCCTAGATTTCTACTTTTTTGTATTTTATCTAACAAGGGATCATAAAAGATTCTCCAGAGGAGGGTGAGATGGCTTCACCTTGGTCAATGCCTCTTTTTGCTACAACCTCTTGCATTAGCCCATATGCTGTTATAAACTTTAGCCCTCTATTTTCAAAAAGGTTCTGAATTAGCTTGCAGTATATATCTGGAATCTTGATCCTCTTGAGTGCCTTTTGCAACATATCAAGGTTTATGGCATCAAAGGCCTTCTTCATATCCTGGAAAAGAACCCACATTTCTTGTTGGTTTTCTTTTGCCTCCTCGAGCATGGCCTTAAGAATGTGCACTGGTTCTTCTGTGGAGTTTCTCGGTAAACCTGCAAAATTGGGACCTTGGAAGATTTCTTTCTCTTTGATAACCTTGCTTAATCATTTTGTTAAGATTTTTGTAACGTATTTTCTAAAAACTTCTATTAAGGTGATTGGTCTAATTTTGTCTAAATTATATTCCCAATCTTGCCCTTTTGGAATTAGATACACCTGTGTAGTTTTCTATTTACTTGGAACATTACCGACCCACAAGCATGCTTCTGCAAAATTTTTAAAGACCTTTTGTGTTTTTGTATTCACCTGCTTTAGTAGTGCATATGTAATTGTTGACATTCCAGGTGCTGAGTTAGTTTTACATCCATTTAACATTAGTTACCACTCTTCTAGTGTGATAGGTTGTGTTACTGAATTGTACCATGTTTCTACAATTCGATCTTTTGGTTAGTATTCTTCAAACCATAACTTTTCTATTTTAGCACTATCCTCTCTTCTGTTTATAAACTGGTTTTGAAAATAAGACCGGACTTCTTCCAAAACCTCTGCTGGGTTAGTTACAAGATTTGTAGACTCTTGGTGTTGTATATAAACTCTGTCTAGAACTACTTTACAAAATGGTTGCTCTAGCAAGCTAGTTAATATTTTCTTTTGTTCTTTTACAATTTGCTTTGCTCTTTTTTGGATATATTGTTGTATTTCTTTTTTTTTTAACCTTTTTGCTACTTTCTACTAGCTTGCCTTCAATTATTTTTCACCAGGTTATTGCGTCTTCTAGCTATTCTGATAACTTCGGTATTTCAATTTCGTCAATATTGCTATCTGCCTATCTATTGTCTTGTCTAATTTTTTTGTTCCATTGTTCTAATCTTATATAGAGCTCTTCTTCATTCGTTGTTTTCATTTCTCTAACTACTTTACTTAGTAAAATATCTGCTTTGAAGAACCTGTTTTTTTTTCTTGTGATTAGGCTTTTTTCCAAAATTTACTACTTTACTTGGCAGATTGTTTCAATCTGCTTTCAGAATTGCTCTTTCTATTATCAATCACATTTGATTTAAATTTGTTTCTAACTGGCTGAGAGATTCTTGGTCTGTTACTAGTGCATCTTGCTTTAGTGCAGATAGCGCCTTATTGTTCAGGTTTTTCCATAGACTATCGTGGTAATCGTCCCAGTTTTCTTTTGTTGCTTTTTCAAGTTTCCAAACTCTTTGTTTGGTGTTGGGTATTGCTTTTTCTGTCTGATCGTTTATTGAAGTAACCAAGCTCTATTCAAATTTTGTACATGTGAGGTCGTGATCGCTTCCTGTTACGGTTGACATATTATAAATTTCTGTCTCTTGCATTATATCTATTGCATTACTTGATACCTATATCTGGTCTATTCTTGTTGCTACTATGCTATTGCTCCATGTGAACTTCTTTTTATATAGGTTATAGTACCTGAAAGTGTCCAAGAAACCTCTCTCTCTGAGCCACGTATGTATTGCTAATTTTCTATTATTATCTATTTGCGATGACTTGTCTAATATTGGGTTGACTATGTAATTAAAGTCACCCATTACTACTATTAATACATTGTCTTGTGCTTCATTTATTCTGCTTTGTACTAAGGACTCCAAATCTTTTGCCATCTCTGTATCACTTGGTGGGATATATATCATAATTACTAGTATCTTGTATTTTTTAAAATAAAAGTGCACCACTAGTGAGAATTCATTTAGTCTTTTGATTTTGCCTATATGTTTTTCTAGTTCTTTTTCTACTAGCAGACCTATACCGAAACCTTTCTTTTTTATTTTTGAAGCTAATGACCAGATCTCTCTAAACTTAGTATTGTTTCTACTTATATATCTTGCCTCTATTTCTTGTAGATTTGTTTCTGATATTCCTATTACATTAAAACCTTTTTCATAACCCTAATCTAGCAACATATCCACTCTATATTTATGTATGTTCAGTCCATTTATGTTGTGTATTGCTATGTTGATTCGTTTGACCAGTTTTGTACTACATGCTGGTACTATCTGTGTTTGAACCTGGTTCTCATTCGGGGTATCACTATTTGTTAGGATGCCCACGGCACCAATTAGAAGTTATTGGGAGCCTTGCCCTCTTTTTGCTACTTTTCTAGTGACTCTAGTCTTTTTATAATCTCATATAGTAGCCCGGTTTGAATAGCCTCCTTTTTCTTTTCTCTATTTTTACCTACTTTTGTATCTTGCTATACTTCTGAGCTTTTCTTTTTGTTGGGTAGACTATTTGTTAGCTGAATATCCTTGCCAGTAAATTTTCATTTGGACCCTTCTGCTATTTCTCTTTCTAAGTTTTCTGAATTTTTTTCTTATATTCTTGTGGTGTCTTCCTCTACCTTGGGTCTTTTTGTAGTGGTCTTGGGTTTTGATATTCTGTTTTTGTTGCTATATTGCCAAAATATCTTTTTGTTTTCATCCTCACCTGGCTCAGCCCATTCTAAATTTGTGTTAAAATAGAAAACTGTCTGGCTTGTTGCTCTGTTTTGATCCTCCTTTGTAGCAAAATATATTGATGCTGTGCCTCTTTGGTTACCATTGCTATTCATTGAAATGTAAACTGTCTTTGCCTTTATATTTTTTAGCTGCCTTAGTAGTGAGGTTTCAATCGCAGTTTTAGGAAGGTTCTTTATAATTGATTTGTATTTACTTCTCTCT